AGCTTACGACGCGTTTCACAGCGACATGCGCGCTCCTTGGACGATCTCGATCGGATTGTAGCGCCGAGCCCTTCGGCATTAATGAGACGTGAGCTGCATGCAGGCGAGCGCGCGCCGCTGAAATCAAAAATTACGCGTGATGTTACCTACGTGAATGACACGGTGTCGCAACAGGTGCGTGCCACCTACAAACCGCGTTTGAGTGAGCCGCTTACAGCACGAGCTACAGGCCACGAGCACGGCACAGAAATGGAAACACCAGACATGGATGAGAATGATGTTTATGTGCAGCTGATGGAGGCGCACACTACGGCAGATGATCAGAACTCCGACGTGTATGAGGTGTTGCGTACGGATAGCGGCTCCAACTTATCACACAAATCGGTGGAAATCGATCGAGAGACAATACGCCAATGGGACGCCATGTCCAGTGGGCTAATGAAACATTCGGGCAGCAATAGCAATTCGGAAAACGATAATGCCTGCGGCAGTGAGAGCCTAACTAGTGTGGGCAGTACGGTGAGAGCAATTATGGAGCAGCTGAATGTGGGTTGTGATGAGAGTGAAAATGCTGCGCGTACGCCCAGTACGACCGATGTCGAATAATGGCGTGATTTAGATGGGCGGCACAAAAGCAGAGTTAAATCTACAAATTCGTTAAGGTGTAAATACAATTGAATTCGATGCAAAATGAATTGAATTAAACCAATATTTACAATAATGAAAAGCACTTGTAAACAATTTGGTGAAAAAAGTCACTCATACGCCCAGCCGCACTTTCATGTAAATAAAATAAATACTCAATCCATGGCTAACATAGGCCAAAACAAGAGCGACTGCAATAACAACAACACTAAGCGAAGCATACATACTTACTATATATATACATATGCTTATGTATGAGTGTGTCCGCATCGATTCGCAAGCCTTAACTACAACAAAATCAATCGAATTAATTCAACGTGTGCAATATTATACTTTTGTTGATTTCCCAATGCGACGCAAACAGATTTGAAAACAAACTGGAATGAGCCCTAAAACAATCACGGTGTACATATGTATATACGCTATCAAGCAAAGTGGAGGAATGCATATGTAAATATGTATAAAATTTCATTGAATTTGCACGAAATTTTCAAAATGTACACAAACATTTGCACAAATATTATTTTTAAATACATATAAATAAACCCACAAATATATCTAAATACATATATACATATATAAATAAGCAGTTGTTCAGGAGACAGTTAGACCGACACTTTCACACAAACAAACAAGCCAACAAACACATATACCACATACACGCACGCACATGTCTATTGTACACAATTGTCGAATCTTTGTTTGTTGTTGTTGTTATAAGCAATTTAAATTGACCAAAATGGTAACGAACTAGTAAAAGAAAAGATGTATAGAAATACAAAAAAACAAATGGTAAGCAACTACAATTTTTCTTAAAATACTACATAATTTATTTGTATATCTATTTTCAACTATACTTCACTTAATATTCTATTATTTCCAATTGTAAAATTAAAAATCTCAATGCTTTTTTCTATTATTCTCTTCAAAAGTTTCTATTATTTAAATTTTAATATTTCTTTTTTTCTTATGTGCGTTTAGACTAATTCAATAATTTCGCTTGATTTCACTAAAAAATGCTAATTAACCCAAAGCAGTCCTTGCAATGTAATTACATACGTATATACATAAATATTGGTATTGCATATTATTTTTTACTAAAATACTTAACCGAAAACATTGTATATTTTAGTGTATGTACTTATGTATGTCGCTTAATGGCTATCTAACGGAAACATGCATAATGAAGTTGTTCTCGGCTACAGCAAAAAACGATTTGTAGTGAATATATTGTACATACGTGTATGTTAAAGCAATATTAAAGATAAAAAATATGTACAAATAGTTGCCGTTTTCATTTTGTAAAAATTGTAAATTTTATATGTAAAAAAAAATTATTAACCCTGCTTAAGCTAACTGACAGCGCATATGAAACAAATTTTAGCCAAAACAGAAATAAAATAAAAATGGAGATAAATAATTAATACTTAAATGGGAAAAGTCTACATACTCGTATCCCCAAATATATACACATATGGTTATCCATTTTGCGTTTTCGAAAATAAAACACAATAATTTTTTCGATGAAATTCCGTTTTTTATTATAAAGTTTGTACCTTGGCTTTATATCTAACGCTACGTCATTCAAATGACCACCAGCAATTTTTTGCAGACTTCGATCCATTTGAGATAACTTTCGACCACTTTTTGGTACATTTTGCGCGGAATCTCAGCCATAACTCAACAAGTCTTGGCTTTGGTTTGTTGGTTGGTTTATCCCCATAAGCACGCTCTTTCGGGTACCTTCATAAAAAAAATCCAACGGACGGGAACTTTTTCAAGCAATAAATACAAGCGGCATATTACACCACCTAGTTGAATCCACATATTATCCAAGTCATGTTCTTCAAGTGCAGGCCTAAAAAAGTCGGTTATCATACGATCATAAAGCTCTCATTTAACGGTAACAGTCTCGCTGTTGTCAATTTCAAAGAAAAAATACCCAATCACAAATCCGAATCAAAGAGAAGCGCATCAAATGTTAAGCTTTTGGGTGCTTATTTACTCACAAATCGAGTGAGAGATGTACGTCGTCGCTGAAGAAAATTTCTTTTTCGAAAAATCGCCATTCACTGCTTGTTATTAAAGCCAACTGCTCACACCTAAATTTTACCAATATTTTCAATATTCAATGTTTTTTGAGTGAGCGAGTAACACCTTACCTCTGGAAAGGACATGCCACACCACTTCGAACTACTCATACGGAGCTAACCCTCGTGCTCCTTCTAAGGTCACGGTGCTTGATAAGTGATATCGTCTGTCTCTAGATTTTTCTCTACTATAAACAATACTGTTTTCGGTGGTTTTTTGGTTTAGATTTCATTTTTTATGTTTTCCGGTAAAAAGAATGTAAAACTGATTGGACATTTTATACGTTGATCACTTGTCCTCAGTAAAAAGTCAGGACTCGTTTTTTTTATTTATATATAGTAAATAAACATGATTTTTTATGGCGTATCTAAAAACATTTGTCTGTATGTTTTTTTTCTGTGATCTCCGAAACAAACTGGCAGATTATACCAAAACTTTGTCAATTTGTTTCTTTGGTTAGAGAAAAGGTTTGCACAAAAACAATTTTCCGAAAGTTGACCAGAAACTGGCCTAATCGAAAAAATCAATTTTGTGGTTCGATTTGCTTGAAATTCACTACATAAGTAGACTTTTGCGTAGGTTAGCATGAGGACTTATTTTCCCTCCGAGTAGTGGACAAGAGACCAACCTAATCCAAATATCGTATTTTTTGTTGGATATATTTGAAATTAATTACACAAATTATTTTTAAAAAACAAAACGTATTTATGGTTCTTTTTTCTTGAAATTAGTTTTCATTTTATACGTATATATTACGGCAGGCTCGGGTTCAAATCTTGGTGTCGTCCTAACATCCTAAAAAATTATAGAAAATTTATTTAAATAAAAAATTAAGCTAAATTTTCTAATTGCGGTCGCATTCGACAGAGAATGTCAAAACCCTCCGAGTTTATTTTTGACACGAAATAAATAACAGTCAGCGGTTGAAGGCGGCTTAGCATAAACTCTAGGTCCCTTTATTTGTTGGAAAAGCATAGAGTCGCAAAATAACAGACTGGTGGAGGAGCTCGCCCGAAAATCGCTTCGTCGGTTACTACGCGCTTATATATATATATATATATATATATATATATATTTATGGTTCGTTTTGGGCAAATTTTTTGATGATATGCCAAACGCAATACATTTATTTGCTGGAAATGCACAAGAGACCTAAAATCAAGTTCGATTTGGTAGAAATATAATTAATACTTAATTTACGTGAGAGCGATCAGCGAGAGAGTGATACGAACGATGGGCTTGGCTCACTTCGAGACTATTCCGTGAAAGACTTTGAGCAGCGAAGAAGTGATTTAGATGATGCTTAATTAAGGATTCATTACTATTTTCAATACCAATTGATTAGAAAATTTGGCAAAATACCGAAAGTCACCACAACGTGATGCCGGATGTGCTCGTAAATTTTAAAAACAGTTAATATATTTTTACCATCGACAAGTTGAACAAAGTGAAGGTACTACGGCAACGATTTTGTAGTTAATCAATCATTTAGCGTAGAAAATTTATTTATTTCAATTATTGATATGTTTCCAAATAGCATTAATTAATGTAATGGAGTTATATTTTTTGACATTCCCTATTGCGCTCGTAGCATTAACGGTTATTATGGTAAAATGTAAAAACAACTGTAACTTTTGCGATGACTAAAGACTGTTGGACTGAATAGAAAACTTTTGTAATTTACACACTTTTAGTATTACATTATTAACAAAAAGCACATTCACCGATTAACTCGCTCATCACCACTCAGTCATCAATCATTCAATTCTATTTAAAATGCATTTGATCATTTAGTCAATTTTGCTTGCGTATATTCATAAAAATAAATAGAAAAATATGTGCCAGCGAAACTTTGGTCATTTCTACATCACATCAACTAACCATTATCACCAATAGATTCCTAAACACCCAGCTTTAGGTATCCGCTCTCGTCTCTACCGCTTTATTCTCTTGCAAAAATAGTTGCCGTTGGTTTGCTTTATTTGCTTTACTTCTTACACTTTCCCAAAGCTTCAACATGTACGTCTCTTCTTCTTCTTTACATGTATACCTTCCTCTCTATCTCCCTTGCGTTACTCACTACTTTGAACTATTGCCTCTCCACTCTATGTACGGTTGAGAATTAAAATTTTGGCTCGAGCAATTTGTCATTTTGTCTCTTTTCTCTATTATTTTTTTCTCTCCTACAAACGCACACATAAACTTGCATACATATGCTTATGGATGGAACACTATTACAATAACAACACACACACCAATATCAGCAGCGTCAATTTCGGTACGTAATGTACGTAATCTACCCAAAGGCAATCTTACCGTCAAACCAGATCCTTCTGATGCACAAAATCCACTGCACCAGCAGCTGCAGCAACAACAACACTTAACTCAAGGCAATTACGATCAAACGTTGGGTAAACTAACGAATTCCTATTATGGCACAGCGCACGATACCAAATATGCGAAGACAACAACACTAACGGATCACCGCAGTGGCGGTGGAGCTGGAGCTGGTGTGGGTGGTGGTTTCTACAGCAGCAGCAACGGACTCAATTCAGGCAGTAGCAGCAATATCCTGGCCTCCTCCACGCCATTACATCCCGGCGTAAATGGTGGCGACTATTATGGTGGCATATCTGCGGGTGTGGGTGGCGGAGCAGCCGCCGGTCCAACCCTGTGGCAAGAGCAACACATACAACAACAAGCATCATATCCCATGAGACGCGTGGATAGTCGTGCTGAAATCGATATGTTGGAACGTGAGACCAGCACACAGATGAGGGTGAGTAGAATGAGTGGCTTTGGGGTTATGGGAGTGGCGCGCCATTTTTGGGTGGGCATTTTGAGTAACATTTTTGAAAAAAAGGAACATTTTCTATATTAGGAGGGTTCATATATATATATTTGCTTGTAATATTTATATATATATATATATGTAATATTTTTATTTACTTATTTGATTAATTTAATGATATTTAGAAATATTTCAGTTTAGTTTAGTTTAATTATTATTACATCAAAAAGCAATTTTTATAAAAATTTCCATTTCCATCGTTCTGGAGACTGACACAAAAGAATTAAAAAAAAAATCCAATTATTTCATAGTATCCTAATGTCTATATGTACGCAACTCTCCGCAAAATCAGCGCCGAATATATGATACATACAAACATTCGTTCATACAACGACTTGCATTGATAAATGTGCGCCGCGGCAGCAGTCAAAGTCAAATGGCTAAAGTTGGGCGCAAATGAACAGAAGGAAAGCAACAAGAAAGTCATTTTAATAAAAAATGTGAAATTGTGGCAGAAAGTAATAAAGTTTTATATATATACATATATATATGTGCGTGTATGTGTGTGTGTGTGTGTGTTTGTTTGTGTGCGACATGGCGAGGAATTCAATTTAAAATGAACACAAGCGATTTATTGATTTGCTGCCCGCGCTTGCTGCCTTTCCTTAGCCATTTATACGCCTTTATGTTGCATTAATATTATTTGACTCTTTGCGTTATTAAGTTTCGTTATTTTCTTTTATTCTACTTTTAAGTTTTTAGTTGTGCTAATGCGTAAAGTTTTTCCATTTTCATTTTGCTTTTTTGTTTACTTTTATGCGCCGCAATTATTTATTTATTGAAATACGCCAAATACACGAAATCAACCGTTGTTTGTTTCGCCGCCTGCCTGCACGCTTGTTTCCCCACCAACTGACATTCCGCTTCCGCCACTTAGAATCTGGATGTTTCCGCCGGTGATCTACTAAGTCGCACCCACGAGGAGCTGGTGCTGCTGCTGATACAGCTGAGACGGCAGAACAGCAATACAGCGCGTGCCATCGAGCAATGTTGCAGTGATATTCATGAAGTGCAGGTTGTTAATGAAACTTAAAAAGTACTTTTTGCATAACAAATGAGTTGGGGTGTTGGGTATTAAACAAAACTTTACCGTCATATTTCCGTAATTTTTATTTTTCAACTTGCTCCTAACTCACTTTTGTATTTCCCTTCCAACCACTAGAATCGTCTACGCACTGCTGAGGGTCTATCACGCGCCGAGAGTATACAGCGTTTGGATTACCTTAAGCAGCATTTGCTCGATTTGGAGCGTCATTATGAGAAGAGTAAGCCGCTTGTCAATTTGGTGGATAATATGGTGAAACTGGGATCACTATATCGCAATAACGATGTTAATGGTCGCCAGCCCCAGCGCAATGAGGCCGTGACTCTCGATCGTCTCGAATTCAATCAGCGCATACAGGAGCGTCGCCTATTACAGGAGGAGCAGAAGCAATGGGATCGACTCAGTCCAAATCACAGCGAGTTGCAGGTTAGTTTATCAATGTTATTAAAATCTATGGAAATAAATGTTAAATTACAAATTATTTTCATAAGATTTTTTTATTTTCCTTTATTTAACTTTATTTTAATGGATTTTAATTCTAATTTTTTTCATTTCATTTTTTTTGTTTATATTATTTTATTTTATTATTTTATACCATTTTATTTTTTTTATTTCATGTTATTTTAATTTAAATTATTTTGTTCTCTTTTATTAAATTTTAGTTATTTTATTTTAGTCTTTTTATTTTATTTTATTTTATTTTAGTTTTATTTTATTTTATTTTATTTTATTTTATTTTATTTTATTTTATTTTATTTTATTTTATTTTATTTTATTTTATTTTTTTTATTTTATTTTATTTTATTTTATTTTATTTTATTTTATTTTATTTTATTTTATTTTATTTTATTTTATTTTATTTTATTTTATTTTATTTTATTTTATTTTATTTTATTTTATTTTATTTTATTTTATTTTATTTTATTTTATTTTATTTTATTTTATTTTATTTTATTTTATTTTATTTTATTTTATTTTATTTTATTTTATTTTATTTTATTTTATTTTATTTTATTTTATTTTATTTTATTTTATTTTATTTTATTTTATTTTATTTTATTTTATTTTATTTTATTTTATTTTATTTTATTTTATTTTATTTTATTTTATTTTATTTTATTTTATTTTATTTTATTTTATTTTATTTTATTTTATTTTATTTTATTTTATTTTATTTTATTTTATTTTATTTTATTTTATTTTATTTTATTTTATTTTATTTTATTTTATTTTATTTTATTTTATTTTATTTTATTTTATTTTATTTTATTTTATTTTATTTTATTTTATTTTATTTTATTTTATTTTATTTTATTTTATTTTATTTTATTTTATTTTATTTTATTTTATTTTATTTTATTTTATTTTATTTTATTTTATTTTATTTTATTTTATTTTATTTTATTTTATTTTATTTTATTTTATTTTATTTTATTTTATTTTATTTTATTTTATTTTATTTTATTTTATTTTATTTTATTTTATTTTATTTTATTTTATTTTATTTTATTTTATTTTATTTTATTTTATTTTATTTTATTTTATTTTATTTTATTTATTTTATTTTATTTTATTTTATTTTTTTTGATTTTTAATTTTTTTTTATTTTACATCAATTTATTCTGATTTATTACGATTTGTTTCTTATAATAAAAACTTAACAACCAATATCTATCGTTTTCTCTCCTCTTCAGTCCAAGGTCCATGAACTCTACCAACTCGATCAACTTTTGCAAGAGGAATCTGGTACACTGCAAAACTTGCAGCGCGACAAGGAGGAATTGGAACGCGCCTTGGGCGGTTTGCGTGCACGTATACAAGACACTTCCGGTCCACCAATTGCACTGGAGGCCGCAAAGAAACAACAACATATGCTAGAGCGCGAGCTGTCACGTGTCCATCAACTGTTGGCGGAGAACTCAAAGGTAGTCGAGGTGCCTAGTATAGAAGTTCTGACGTCTGTTATTTTTGTTTTTATGTGTGTGTGAAAATAATAATATTTGCTTTGCATATACATATGTACACCTAGGTTCTGCTAAGGTAAAGCTTTATAAAAAATGAAAAAATGCTTCTTGAAAATGTGACTAATCCAATAGGAGGCTTAAAACGCTATACATCGTAAATAAATTTACATACCTTACTACTAACACGTTTGAACGCCTCAAGTTGAAAAATTTTATTTCAGAGCTCATATGAATTTAAGAATAATTGCTGCATAAAACGCTTTTATTTTGCATGACTTATATATTTATGTTCCCTAAAAAGTCTTGATTTTTTCAGATCAAAAGTTTCAGAGACTTAAATCGATGATTAACACTTAATTTCTTAGCTTTAATTTACATGCAAACCTAGTATTCTGTTTACCTAATAGTGGTGAAAGATGTGGGATGTCCCACGGAAAGAGGTGCTACATAAGATAAATTCCAAAATGAACTTCTTTGCTCAGCTCAGCTAAGTTCAATAGTTCAAATACATTTTCTAAGAATATTTGAACATGTTCGGTTGTATTTTAAGATCATTTTAGCAAGGGATCCTCTCAGATGCCTTCTTCGTTGTTCGATTAAATCATACGAAATGTCATAATTCTCATAACGGCATTTCTTTAACTTGGCTTTGCTACTTTAAAGTTGCAACGAAAAATAATAATATTTTCCAGCAAAAATTAAATCAAGAACAAAAATGCAGACGGCATAACATCTAAAGCGCCAACTTACTAAACAAACCATACAATCTCTTGCTTTCATGCTTTTAACTTATGTCATAACAGCATGTCAAGCAACTTTAGAAAATTTAACCTAAGCAAATATTTTTCATAACCTTTACCGCAAAATCGCAGAAATTAGAGCAAACCGTCGCTGGCAATGCACGACTCGAACAGGAATTGATTGTGCTGCGTCAAAAACTACAGGCTTCTCGCGGTGCACGCGGCTCTCAGGGCGCACTCACGAACGGCATTGGCGGTGGAACCGATAGTTTTGCCAGCAACACAACCGCCATGTTGGAATCGGAGCTGAAGCGCGTACAAACTCTTGTGGGCGATATGCAACGTCAAAGACAAGAGCTGAGCTCCGCGGTACGTCAGCTAACGGAGAACTCTAATCGCCTCTACCAGGAGATCGGCAACAAGGAAAATATTGCGAATGGTATGCCGCTTGATACGCAACATAAGAAGCGCACGAACTCTTCGTCGTGGCAGGAAACCGATATGGACTCATTGTTGAGCATCACACACACGCTGAACAACGACGCGACACTCAACTTATCCACGCCGCTCTATGTGGACACCAAGCTGAGCGACTATGCACATAATGGTGGTGACGAGTTGCAACGTCTGATGGCTGGCGGCGCTGGGCTTGGTGGTAGCAATGCGTACCGATATAATGACACCAGCGATAATTTGGAGACTAGTGGCGTGGATAGTGATGGCTTCCTCGACTCAAATCCATTTTCCAACCTCACCAATCAGGAGAAGCAAGAAATCAAGACGGTGCGCATTGTAAAGCGTGAATCGGAGCGTAGACACCGCGACCGCACTGAGCGGAACGGTCTCAGCAACTCCACACAAAACCTCGATCAGGTGCTTGAGGAGGAGCAACAGCTAATGAGCAGTAACGGGCTGGGTAGTGCCGGTTATCAACATATGAACGGCAGCGCAAACGAGTACCAAAGTAATGGTCGTTCAAAATCACTGCCACGTAGCTATAACGAGCCGCCGTCAATGGGCAAAGTGCGACACCATCATCACCACAGCAGTAAGCATAGTAGTAGCAAGCAGAATGGCCATCATAGCAGCGGCGGCAGCAGCAAACAGGAAGATTACTATAGCAGAAACTATGACAAGAACAGCAACTATGCTGCGAACTATCAAATGAGCAATGGGGCGAGTGTAGGTGGCAATGCGGAGCGTCGTGAACATCTCAATCCGCTGGCCAATGCCTACTTTGCCAAGCAGCTGTTACAGCAGCAACAACATCATCAGCCTGGCCAGACACGCGAGTCCGCACAGCACGCGCTGCGTCAAAAGACAGACTCGATGCAGAGTTTGAATAAGAGCCTCACCGATCTGGGTCCCGATCCGGTATTCCAAAGTGAAGCGGCACGTCAAATCATCAACGAACTTTCGGCCGGCTCAGCGTCGGAAGATAATACGGAGAAGATTGTGGAGAAAGTACCGTCACAGCATAAACATCGACGTGCGGTGCCACGTGAGAAGCGTCGTCACTACACTGCGCCAAATAATGTCAACGTAAAGGCGATGGAGAATGTGCAGGCGGAGAACGATATGAACCGAAATGTAAGCGAACGATAGCTCGGTGCACTCGAGCAGGAGATTTTAATTGATTTGATTAATTTTTCATGTATTTCTAGAATACTAATTGGCGTGCACGTGATGATCTTGACATGGATTTGGCGCTACGTCCACGCATGAATGCGCCCGACGTGGTGCGCTCCGCATTGGGTCACGGCGAAAAGATTTCGGAGAACACAATAGATAATCTGCTATTGGCTCCAAACAAAATTGTCATACCGGAGCGATATATACCGGAAAAGGTAATTAAATAAAAACCATAAAAATACCGACCGATCTATCGATTATTTAAAGTTCAGTTCTAACTGAGCTTGGTATTTCGTTTTAATTTCAAATGAAACTGGTCCTGAAGATTTTATAAACGCAAAAAGCTACTCAAACCCTTTATCATAGATTTGAAACTGAGGAGCGAACAAGATTGAGCATAAAATTATAAAAGATATTTTTAAACTCTTTGCAATTGGTTTATTTATATTTTACCGCTTGCAACGTTTTCCAGACACCCGAGCTATCGCCGGAAGAAAAGAAGCGTCGCCAAGAAAAAGTCGAGTCCATCAAGAAAATGCTGATCGAAGCGCCCATAAGTTCCGCAAATGTAAGTGCTTTAAATGCAATAAATAATTGGAAATAAATTATAGTATTTTTTTATTTATTCTTTCGCTCCAAACAGGACACAACTGTTAGTCTACCACCGAGCAAAATGAACGCCGAAAAGAAACAACGCGAGCATTTATTACAACTCAATCAAATATTGGCGCAACAAGTCATGCAAAAGAGCAAAATCGTAGCTGGTAAGTGAAAGAATTGAAGAAAAAACGGAATAAAATGTAGAAGCTTCTCTAACTGCTATCAGCTACTACATATCATTATATACATCCATTTATGTATATGTATAAAAGTGTTTTGTTTAAAATTTTTGTTTATCTATGTAATTGTGTAATTGCGTTACAAACGACCTTGAGTTGCGTTCGAAAGAAAACTAACTAAAATAACAACTATGTGTTCTTTTGCTAGTTTCAATTACATTTTCTTTAATGTTACAACAATAAATACTAAACAATTCGTATTTGTACTTACACTTGGTTTATGGTTTCTTTGCTGTTTGTTTCTCTCAGTGTACGCATCTTATAATTTCCATTACTCATTTGTAAGTTTATGCGATTCGCAAACGATTTCAGGTATTTCCTGTAAATGTTTATCATACAAATTCTCATTTTTTATTCATTTTTTTTTTAAACAAAATTCGTACTCTTTTATCTATTGTAAAAACCGCTATGTGCTCTCGTTCTAATCTTTATATATGTATATTTTTTCTTTTTCGAATTCTAATTTTCTAGATGATAATTGAGTATCATTTACTACATGCATATATGCATTGATATGTATGAAAAACTTTTCGCCAAAAACTATAAACTGAAATGTTTCTAATGAAAAAATCCAACTCACATTTATCAGTCATGTCAATCATCAAGAACTTGTCAACCCATTTCATCACTTAGTTGGCCTTGTAGCGCATCAAATTCACCTTAGTACTAGTATATGTACATAATAAAAACATACAGACATTTGCATTCGTACATCTTCGGCAATCAAAACATCATATCAACCAGTAGTTTTGTCGCATTCATTCTCAAAAAAAGAAATAAATTATTTGTAAGAAGAATATAAATTTGTCAAATTTGAAACATCTACCACACCCTGTATTATACTGCATATAGTAACTTTTATATATCTATTATAAACACAATACTCAACTATCTACCTTATATACTAACTCACAATCGTTCACCTCACTTAAAAGCACATTCACCTCTGTATTGTAACGTACGAAAAAAGTTCACCATACTTATTCACAATACACTTCAACTTCACCTTATAAATAAGTAACACTCAATTGTATGTATATGAAAAAACTATAAATAAATAATAAAGAAAACCATTTCACTTTAAAACATCACATCCGTAGTGCTCATTATCAAAGTTAACGCGTTGCCACTCATCGTCCATCAAAGTTGTCACTTCGCACTTGAACATCCGGCCATGCGAAATTGAAATACAAAAACTATTTTCTTTCTTTCATTTCATACTGAAACTTTTTTAAAAATATTTTTAAAAATTTTCGAATTGTTACTGTATTTTAAGTGTTCTTATATACTCGTATATGGTTTTGTTTTTTAAAGGTTCTGAGATGTGTATTTCATATTCCCCTTTCTCTCTCTCTCTGTGTATTTGTTAATGTCTAAGCTGTTTTATTTACTCAATATTACATAAACCGACTCTTGCTTTACAAAATATTACGAAATTGTTGTTGTTAATGAAAAGTTTTTTTTTTTTGTTTTGTTTTTTATTTGCATAGTTCCTGAGTCCAAGTATGAATGTTGTTGTTTTTACTATATATTACCACAAAATATTTAAAAAGTTACAATCTCAGGAGCTTCATCAAATTGCTCTCATCAATCTTCTCGGTCTTAAATCATAAAGAGTTTTTTCCATTCTCTGAGTACCAGAAACCTCATTTCTTATTACTTTGCTAGTCTAATCTATCTTAAAGAGTTTTGGATTTTGCATACTAGAAATTATGATTAAAAGCTGGCTCTCAGTAAAGATTATCATAATTTAAATATCACTTTTTGAATGACGACCGATTGAGCTTTGAAATCCCCATTTTGTCTACACGCTTTGTAGCATAACTGAGAAAATACTCTCTACTTTTAGTTCTCCAACTAAGTATGTTTTCAAGTCCGATTCTCTTAGCTTGCCAAAGCAAGTGCACTTGTGCTTGTCCGGCAGCTTCTTCATTGGCATCATTCTAGTGTCCGTGACCGGACATACTCGTATATTTATTTCATTGGCGCTTTGTAACCACTGAAACGACTTTCGGCCGAGCTCCTCCTCCAATTTGTGGTTTTGCATCTTAATGTTTTTCCAACAAATGGAGAAACCTACAGTTTATACTAAGCCGCCTTCGAACGGTTGATGGTTTTTTTTTAATGAGGAGCTTTATTTGATGTCAGAAATTCACTCGGAGCGGTTGACACTCTCTGCCAAGGGGCGACCGTAATTAGAAAATTTTAAATAATTTTTCATTTAAATTAATTTTCCGGACTTTTGGATGTTGGTGGCACCGGAATATGAACCCGAGCCTTCCGAATGGGCATTATATGGGTAATATACAATAATAATCCACTTCGCTAAATTTCCCTGCTGTCCGTACTCTGACATCTGTCCTCACAGTTTCCTGCCTCTCAACGGGCTTGCCACTCGGTCGGAGTTTCTTTCTTATGTGCTCTCTGGTTATATTGAAAATGCTTTCTTTGTCCCTTATTTTTTTTGAGTGTCCTGTTTCTATTCTTTTCGGCTGCCGATAAATGAGCACTTTTGCTTGTTACCCCCATAGGTTCAGGGGTTATTGTATGAGTTACCAACGCTACTGGCAAAGCTGTTGTGCGGTACACTCGTCTGTTATTCTTTTTTAAGTGAGTCCTTTCAAAACTCGGTCTGGTAAAGTAAAATACTAAGAGCTTCGTCGGTAGAAGCTTCCTTTTTTCTTGAGGCACTCCTCCGATGTTAGTCTTAGTCTATAAAGCTATGAAGTGATTTTGTAGGCTATATATATGTGTACATATGGATATACACGTATTATGAAGTATATATATAATCAGTCAATCCATCACTAGTCATCAGTGTATTTTTCTTTAAAACCCAAATGAGTTTAATATTGTCTAAACGGGTAGGGAGAATGTTTGAAATGTATTCAAATTGAGCCCTAGACACGTTTCAAAAAGTGGTCTTCTACCAAATGCCAATCGCTTACCGCTGAAGTGAGGAGAGGTGGAAAGAGGCAAAACAAATCAGATAGTCAGATGTCTGATATGGACCGTATCATTGCGCTGATCATTTGAGAATCGCATACTTGCATAGATGCCAGAGAGCATAAGCTCAAATAACAGGAAGCAATTAGCCAGCGCCCAAAGTTATGAGAGGATTTACGCCCCCCACGTAAACACATTCGATGTTTTAAGTCGAAGTTCCCATTTCAAGTGACATCAAGTGGCATTTGTCAAAATTAAACCACGTACATCCATATATATGTTGTTATGCGCGCAAGAATTGTGTGTTCTGACAAGTTACCGTTGCTGGCAAAGGGTCGTCGTAGCCTTTAGAGCTTTAAAAGGCTGAGAAATCTTGCTTATAGTGCTAAGCTTAATCTACTTTCTTTGGGTTACAATAAGAAAAAAAATTACATCATTAAATAAGATTGCTTTATTTGATCCCCCTTTATTGCATTCATCAATATTTTTTGTCAAGGGTACTAATTTTTCTATTTTCTTCTTTAGACAGAAAAAATATGAAATATTTTCTAAACTAATAATTATTAGTTTTGAAATATACCTTAAAGCCTTTCGATAACTCTGGTGGCGTTTAATGCTAATTTGTATTTTGATTTAAGAATTTCTTGTACAGGAAACCTTTACAAGCTCATAAGATATTTTTCAACACAAAGTAATAACCTAAACAGCAGTAGCACTAACCCTGTTGAGACTTGAATGAATTTATTTTTTTTCAAATTATTTTATTTATTATTAATTACTCAAGCATACGATTTTTATTTATTTTTATTTTTATTTTATCTTAATTTTGCTCGTTTATTTTTAGGTAACCCAAAAAGCCAAACTAATTTGAAATAAGCGTGACCTGAAAATGCGTTTGTTTGTAGTCCGTCACGCATTACCTTGACTGTGTGTTTGTGTATTGAAAATGAGCCCCAAAAATTGCAAGAAAAATATACTAAAAAAAAAACTGTTTTTGTAAAAAGCTATGTTTGGAGCTTTTTTAGTTTTGGAAAATTGAATTTTGCATTTGTTTATATGAAACCAACTCGTGCCTACTTCTTAGTTGTAATTAAAATTAGAACAAATCTTAATTTTAAGTTTTTTTTTTTAATTTTGTTTGCCTTTAAGACTAAGTCGCATAAATACATACATTCATACATAGTTATAGAGAACCTACATACATATGTACATATATTTGACAACAACAATTCAAATTCTCAATCATACTTGCATATATACATACGTACATACATACATGCGTCCCAAAAAAATAGTTATTTATATAAAAGAATATAAATTCGAACCGACCATATCACTTATATTGCATCATACATACATATATACATACATAAATGCACACTTACACCCAAACATACATGCATATGTATATAGAGACGTTAGTAGTAAAAAAAAAAAAACAAAAAGAAAAGTAAGAGAGAAAAATTTCTAAAAACATTTGCGAGTGCAAGCAGCAAACTGAATAAGAAAGACACGCAGAATGAGGCCGCTGAGAGATATGTAAAATGCATGAGTATCTCGCTCAGCATTGTTTGCATCAATAAATACTAAACCCAAACTGCAACAACTAAAAGCAAGCGTATGAAAAATATTTAAAGAAAAAAAAAAAAATCTGCAAAAACAAAAATATTTATGTATAATAACAATTTTGATACGTACAAAATAATACTATACCAACAACAACAACAACAACAATCGAACAACATTTACCACAACAAGAACAACAATAACAGCCACAGTGACATCCATATGCACCCAAAAGGTTTGTATACAATGCTCATTTACTACTACTACTACAACAACTAAATACTACTACTAAATCTGCTACTTGCTACTATTATTTAACTACTACATACTATTTTAATTGTAAATTACTTTTTAAAATTAGATTTACGTACGTTTGTATGCCATTGACTGAAGTTGAAATAATTTGAAACTTTCTTTATCATTTCTTAATGTTTTTGAGCTGTTTGTATGCTGTTGCTCGAATTAATACATACAATGTTAATAACCGTTAAAGTAGGAATTTCAGATTAAACATGTTATGAACAAATTTCTCTTAATAATTTTTTAATGTATTTCCTATAGTACCACCGTCGCCTATTCTTTATTTTTTATTTTAAATAATATTTGAGATTAGTTTATTATTTATTAGGTAATAAAACGGTAAATATTTGAGAAAAACAATATTTCGAAAATTCCAAAATTGCGCAAATTCACTCATTTTGCACTAGCAATGTGCACTTTTGTTTGCAAAAAAAAAAAAAAAAATTATTAGCACTTCAATCAATAATGCCAGCATGTCGGGCACTTTGTTGATAACCCCACTAGTTATATATTTATCACTGTTTAGATAAGATAGTACGTATATATAAAGAGACAATAAGATATTCTTAGGAGTGAAAAATTCAGTTGCTCGCAACCCTTCGCAGTGTCCAAAAAAATATTTATTTTTGATTTTTTATGGAAACAAATCGAAAACTTTCGTAAGGAGGTAAGAGTTTTCAATACTTTTTGGGTATGATTTCTCACATCCTTTGTGATTACAAAATTATTTTAAAACTATCAATTATTGTCTCTAAAAAGCGTAGTTGTAGATATTTTCCGTTTTTATCGCAGCTCATAACTATTCAATATATATTTTCTGGATTTAGTAAAGGGTGTTTTTTAGACATGTGGTTTTCAAAAAGAGAAAAACGTAAATAAAAAAGAAAAGAATTTTCGCCGAATATTCTCTTCCAACGAGGCAATCATCTCGGGCATAGCCACGCAAAAAATACTTCACCCGTGTTAAGCCGCACTCTAAGTACGACAATTTTGTTTTTGAAAGTACTCATTCAATCAAAAGTGTACTGTGTCACTGAACAACGAATCAGGATCTGTGGTTATTCCATTTTGGGAGCATCCATCCACCTAACGTTCGATGCGCGTGGCTTCAATTATTGCACGATTTTTAATCTGGTGGCTCCCAAATCAAAATGCTTGGTCAAGCCTTTCATTAAGTGGATGGTCACAGCTCCAATTAGTGCTAGCGATGGTGGATAACTCATTCGGGTCTTCTTCAAAACTCTGCTCAACCGCAACAATAGCAATGTACGGCTCCTTAGGGGACGCGCATTATCCACTAGAGCAAACAAAATAAGTCTCTTCCTTATGAAATGGAACAGCTGCCTAACAGACTCACTTCGAAAAATGTATGGCCTCATTGAAACTCAAGCCTCTAAAAAAACATTCTTTATAGTTACTATTCTTTGATTGAATGCAACTTCGTACAGATGCTCCTTGAATTTTAGTTTACCCTCCAATTCGTCTAGATATGTTAGATAATAAAAGCATATTTTATTGTTTATTAATAATTTTGCTTCACTTTTTTTTTGGGACAATAATTCCATTTGGAAACCTAAGCTGTATTTGAAGAAATGGCATAGTTATAGAATAGTATCAGGTTCTCCTAGTCAGTAGACTTGAATACAACGGAAAGCTTCACGCACTAGAATTAAGTTCTCATTTTGCCTCTCCAACACCGATTAGCGCATTGAGCATTTTTGTTAAAGGGAAAAGTCCGAGGTAGCACTTTTAGAGGTGGTCTTAGGAAAGTCATGACAAAGTAGATATTTGTTCGTGTGCTAGAAAGGTTTTTATAAATTTATTATAAATTAGAGTGTTTTTGGAGAACACGAACACGTATATAAATAGCTTTTACATATGCTTATTATGATTAATCGAAATGTACGCATTTCTCTATTACCTCAGACACAATAAGTAAGTATGGACAGCAAAGCACACTTCTCTATTCTCAAAGAATCGCGGACAGTTATTTATGATTTCTCTTTTTTTTCTCTTTGAACTCTAAATTATTGATTCCTAAGTAATAACAATTTTATCCCGTTAATTGTCGTTCTCCACACAGAAAAAGCAATGGCCCAAGTGTATAAAGAATTAGACGACACATCGCCGACAGGACGAGATGAAAGAAGTTCCGAATCACCAAGCGATCCACTGCCGATTTATCAACAACGCGATAATTACTTTAGTTAAAAAACCAAAAACAGCAGCACAAAAATATAAAATGCAGCAAAAACACTCTACAACAATAGTAACAAATTAAAAAAATTACAGTTAAAAAACTACAAAACAGTTAGAAGAGCGAATAACGGTGTAGAAAATACTAAAAAATACAACTATAGAATATTTTAGGAACAAAAGTATAAAAAAACAATAACTAAAAATATTTAAATCAATACTTGACAGCACCAAAACATCGTATACATATTATAAACAGCTACAGTCACAACAACACTGCAACATTTAAATAAACTAAATAACAAAAGTAAATGTAACAATAAACCACGAGAACCCAAAATACAAAACTATTGCATTTATCTTGAACGTGAAAGCAAAGAAAACCACGAAATATGCGTTGCACAAAATTAAAATAAATGCTGCACTAAATAAATATTAAACAAAAATACTTTTGGCTTCAATAAAAGGTGGAAAAGGAGCTAAAAAAAAAACTAAAGAAAACTAAAAAGCGCTGCAAAGCGATATTGCTTATTATCTGCGAATTGTTGTTGCGAGAATATAGTATAAAAAACTGAAATTCAATTAATTGCAAAAACTATTAAAACGTCAACTAATAAATTTAATTAACTATTTTTTGCTTAGCTGCAAATCTCAAATGACTGAATTGTAAAGCAAATTTAAAAGACTATGAAATATATTCACTAAAAATATCAACTAAATGTTAAACATAAAGAAAAATATATATATATGTAAAACAAAATCATTAAAATGACCGATAGTAAAAACCGTTAAACATTTATTTCAATTAACTGAAAACCTGCTTTCAGAGCTCATGTAATTGAGATAATATTAAACAGTTATACATACTTATATGTATATGATGAATGAAAAGCAGAGATGAGTTGAGGATGTCGAAATATTTTCACTTTCTTTTTCACACATCACCTTCAAATATCTTTTAAAGTTATAAAAAAACATCCAAAAGACACAGAAAAAATTTTCAAAATTATATTTATTTCGCTTGTTTAAATAAAATATTTTATTTCCTTCTTCATACGAGTATATAGTTGAACATTTATTTAAAAACACATTTCTAGACAGATATTTTGATTTAAATACAAAACCTTGATGTCTGCTTTCAAAGCAAAGATTGTTTCAAAATGCATTATAATTCGGAAAAATGGAATAAGAACAGGAATTATATGAAAACAAACGAATTAGGTCACATATCAAAATTGAAACGAATTAAATTATTAGATGAATTATTGATGTATGTAAGTTTAAGAGTAATGAAAATTATATCAACACGAAAATAAAATGACTTATATTAACTTATAAAAAGAAACAATCACATTAAAATAAAACAAACTAAAATGAATGAAAAATAAAATATGAATAAATAACTTAAATACAATGAAAATATTAATGGCAACTAAATTGAGAGGAGTTAAACGAAATAAAAAAAAATTAAAAAATTAATAAAAATAGATAAATAAGCTCCAAGTAAATTAACTAAAAAATTTAAAATAAAAAAATAAAACAAAATAAATCAACAAATAATTAAATAAATAATTATTACATATATAAAAATATATTAAAATAATCTGAATAAAATGAAATAAGATTAAAAAACGATTAAGAGCAATTTTATTGAATTAAGTTAGTTCAAATAAATGAATGACTTTAATTAAAATAAAATTATCGTAAATAAAAGAAAATAAAATAAGTTAATGCGATTTAAAACATATAAAATAAAACAAATAACATAAAATAAAAAAATTAAATTAAAATAAATTAAATTATATAAAAAAAATCACGTCAAATCAAATAAGATTAAAAAAATAAAATAAAATAAAATAAAATAAAATAAAATAAAATAAAATAAAATAAAATAAAATAAAATAAAATAAAATAAAATAAAATAAAATAAAATAAAATAAAATAAAATAAAATAAAATAAAATAAAATAAAATAAAATAAATTAAAATAAAATGAAATTAAATTAAATAAAATAAAATAAAATAAAATTGGACAAAATCAAATGGAAAGAAATATATATTGAAATAAATTGAAAAATTTAAAGTTAAATAGATTGAAATGAAACAAAATAAATTTATATGAAGTTAAATAATAAAGGTAAAATAAAAGTTTTCTTAAACTGAAATAACAAATTAATATTGATGGTGCAAAACTACAAACATGCTTGCGTGTATGTATGTAAATAAGTGTATTGTTGCAAATTTGAATGTGAGAATATATATATTTCGATGGCAAAAGAATAAATATATAAGTGTTTGTTGAATTGTAAAGTTTTGTTGAGAAATTGTTGAATTTCATGAAACATTTTAAATATAGAAATATAATAGTAATATAAATATATAAATTTAACTAACTTTATTAAAAAACAAAGATGAATAAATATAAAAATATGAAAAAGAATTAGACATGTATATACGCTCATACATATATACAATTATCTTTCATGTATACGTATATGTACGTAATACAAAGGAAAGAGAAAACTTGATTAATAAAATAAAAATGCTGAATGCATTTTTTTGAAATCGTGTGCAATTGAGTACAAAACAAGCAAAACTGCATTTAATTCAACATCCATTTGGTCCACATTTTGCGCCTAAGTGAAGGCTACGCACATATATACATACATATTATATAATATGCCTTAACTAATGCATTTTTCACGAATGTCAGGATCAAACGTAATTGAACCACGGAACAATAATTTTAAAATGTTGGCAGTTTTCTTCCCTTTCGGAATCACAGATAATCGTAAAAACATACCGAGTAACGCCTCAGCTGGGTGTTAACCACTTTAAAGAATATGGCTGAAAATGGTTTTTATTTTTATTATAATTTATCACATCTACAAACGTTCTCTGTACCTATTAAATGAATTGTAAAAAAAAAAATTAAAATGTATATGAAGTAATAAGCAAAGTCATAGGAATTAAAGTTGATTCACTAAATTGTCGAGCCAATTAATGCGAACAATTTTTTAGTTTAATTATTAAATCACTGCATATTTTTGAAAATTAGAATACTAAATCCTCATGAAAAAATCAATTCAAAATCAATTATACACTTATGATGCAGCTGTATATATTATATTATATATACATACTCTATTCATGCATATACATATATATAAAAATTAGCACACACACACATGTATATAAATGAAAGCAAAGATAATTATGAGAACAAGAAATAAAAGACAATTTTAGGTCAATTAGCATAAAGACAAATTGAAGAAAAAATATTTGTAGATTTTCTTGACTGAAAATCAGAATTGCAAGAAAATAAGTAAATAAATAGAATCGAAGTATTGAAATATGATGTTGAAAGTTATAAAAGGAAATGGAAGCACGATAAGGACGGAGATAAAAAAGTGTAATTTTTTTCGAATAAATAAATTTGAATTTTTCCATAGTTCTGCATTAGAAATGAATTTTGCATACATATTTACATGCTAACATATATTTATGCAAACATATTAACTAAACAATTTTAGTTCTATACAACGATTTTAAATGATGGTTTATAAATAAGTATGTAATTATTTAAGCAGTTTTAAGTCAAAAATAAAACATTTTGAAAACTGTTCATATTATATAACAACGCAAATTTTTTTCTATATTTTTTTATTTGATTACGTAAGCAGTTAGATAATTTGCAATAAATATTATATTTATAATAAAATGTACAAATGCAAAGAATTACTTCATTATTAGTTCTTTTTAATTGAAAAGTGTACAAAATAAATATAAACACATTTTATTTGATATTATTGATATTTGATTTATTATGTACTACTATTAATATTTGTTCGCACATTAATAATCATTAAATAAATCAAGCATTATATTTATATAAAATGATGCTTTCAAATATTTTACGTTCAAAGAATTTAAAATTGTAGTTTTGAAATTATATAATTTTAAAAATTGTTTAAACTCAAAAAATAAACATGTTTTTTATTAAGTAATAATTAATTAGTAATGTAAATAGGGAAATGAACAAATATTAAAATAACAAAATCATTCTATACAAATATAATAAAATTTCACATAAAATAAAACTTAATGAAATTAAATAAAATATAGTAAAACCCAACAAAATAGCATTAAATATAATGTAAATGAAATAAATTAAAATAAAATAAAAATAAAAATTAATTCAAACAAACATAAATTAAATTAAATAAATTAAACAAAATAAAATAAAATAAAACAAAATAAAATTAAATTAATGAAATGTTTAATCACAATTCAATTTTCACTAATTTTTTTGCAATATATATTTTCTTAGCTTTTATTATGTATATTTCCCTGTTGTAATTAAACAGTAATTTACATTGCATATTAATTTAAAAGCCCCAGCGCTATATACATATATATTTCATATTCATTTAAAGTTAGTTTTTCTTGTATTTATGTAAAAAAAATATTAATTATTTTTAGTGAAAACTAAACTTTAACAGCTTTTGAATAAGCAGTCAATGAAGCGTTTTAATCAAAAATTGAAATGAAAGAAAAATTAAAAAATTACGAAACGAAGAACTACAGGAAAATCAGATGAGCATCTGCTGTATCATATAATGTCATAATTGTAATGTCTGCTAATAAATATCATATACATAATTATTATACTATACATGAATATAATGCCCACACTGAGCATATATAACTATATAAGCACATTACACACAAATATCTGAAATCACAATTATGTGAAATCGTAAAAAAAATTAATTTAGCGAACTATATCATATATTAAATTAAAATATACATACATACATACACAATTAGCATATATGAACATATTGTAAATTGAATTTAAAGATGTTATCAATAAAAAAATGATAGTTGGAATTTAAATGCAACAATGTATTTTATTTTGCTAGTTAAAGCGGTGGTAAGAATAAGAGAAAAGCTCTCCCGGGATTTGCATATTTTATATATATTTTTAGTTCCATTCCAAGAATTTTATTTACTCAAATTATGAAGCCGCTTTTGGCTGTGCTCCTCCTCCAGCTAGTGGTTTTGCTTCATGATGTGTCTCCCAACAAATGGAGGGACCTACAGTTTATACTAAGCCGCCCCCAAACAGCTGATGGTTTTTCTATGTGGAGCCACTATTTCATGTCAGAAATACGCTTGGACAACTTGACATTCCCTACCAAAGGGCGATCGTATTTAGAAATTTTTCTTGATTTTTTATATACATCAAATTTTTATATTTTTTTGGATGCTGGTCGGACCAGGATTCTCACCCTGGCCATCCGAATTGCAGTTACCTAATTTACATGTAATTTTATTAATTATTTTTGTTGTTTTGCTTCCATCCAAGCTGAGAAACAGCAACATTCCTTTATGTTGTTGTTAAATTTTATGTGACTCCATTCAACTCCGTTGAGAGCATGCTTGTAGCATATCTTCAGGCGCAACTTCCTTAGCACAGAGTGTACTGTACGATGATGTTTTGCTTCTACTATGAGGAGGCACAACTAAGAAATGGAATCAGCGACGCACCCTGCGTCTGAAAGTTTACAATACTGTGTGCTAGAATGCGGCACATCGGAAATGCAATCACATATTTTTTTTTTTTAATTTCATATATTTACATATCTCCCTTCCGCTTTTCTGCGTGTTACAGTGATCGGATTTAGTTAAAATATGCGCCGTTTTGTTCGATGATCTGTTTCCATCTACGACCGGGTTATATGGTGGATGCGACAAAACCTTCCATCCGAGCTCCCGTAGCTTCTGACGAGTCATCAACGAAGTGTGTGGTGTGGCGTTGTCCTGGTGGAACACTACACCCTTCCTGTTGGCCAATTCTGGACGCTTCTGGTCGATCGCCTGCTTCAAGCGGTCCAGTTGTTCGCATGGGAGCAGCTCATAGTGGATGATTCCCATCCAATCCCACCAAACACACAGCAAAACCTTCCTGGCCGTTAATCCCGGCTTGGCCACTGTTTGGGACGATTCACCGGCCTTCGACCACGACCGTTTTCGCTTGATATTGTCGTATGTGATCCATTTTTCGTCGCCAGTCACCATCCGCTTCAAGAATGGGTTGAGTTCGTTCCGTCTCAGCAGCATATCGCGTCAAATTTGCGTCAAATTATGCGGCTCCCAAACATCAAACTATTTTTTGTATCCAGCCTACTGCAGATAGTTCAAAATGGTTTGGTGACTAACTCCCATCTCCTGGGCGATGTCACGAGATGCCATATGCCGGTCTAACTCGATGTATTCCATGATTTGATCGTTATTTGTCGTCACAGGTCTTCCGCCGG